CTAGTGTTTCAATTAGTGATGGAACTAGCGCTGATGTGGGCGATGCTTCAAGTGGGGATGAAGCTAACATCGATGAGAGTGATGCTTGAATCAATGATGAAGCTAATCCTGATGTAGATAATGCTGAAATCGGCGAATAAGCTACAATGGATGTAGATAATGCTGGAATCGGTGATGAAGCTACCACTGACGAAGGCGATGCATCTGCTTGTGATGAAGCTTTCAGTGAAAAGGGTGTTGAAACGAACACTGACAAGGGTGGTGTTTCTAACGGCGACGAAGCTAACACTGATGATAGCTGTGCTTCAATTAGTGATGAAACTAGCACTAGCACTGATGAGTGACATGCATGCGTCGATGATGAAGCTAATAATGGTCCAGATGAAGCTTGAATCAGTGATGAAGCCAACAATGACGAAGACAATGCTCCAATTTGTGATGATTCAACTGGTGCTGAAACTAACACTATTGAGGACGACACGTTAACATTTGCTGAAAATAACACCAATGATGACGAAGGGAACACTGATGAAAGTGGTGCTCCAATTAATGTGGTAGTTAATTCTACTAGTGATGAAGCTAACACTGATGAAGGCGGTGTGTCAATTAGTGATGATGCCTGTATTAATGACATGATTAACAATGATACTGATGATGCTTGAATCGGTGATGAAGCTAAATCCGATGCAGCTGATATTGGATTCGGTGATGAAGCTAACACTATTGAAGGTAGCGCTTCAACTTGTGATGAAACTAACACCGCTGATGTCAAAACCGATGTGGATGTTACTTCAATCAGTGATGAATGTGGTACTTCAATTACTGGTGTTTCAATTAGTGATGATAAAGCTAACACCAAAGAGAGTGATGCTTGCATCAATGATGAAGCTGGCACTGATTCTTGAATCAATGATGAAGGTAACACTGGTGCAGATAAGGCTTGAATTGGAGATGAAACTAACACTGATGCAGAAAAAGCCGGGATTGGAGATGAAGCTAATACTGATATAGATAAGGCTTGAATCGGGGACGAAACTAACAATGACGTAGTTTGTGCTTGGAACGGTGATGAAGCTAACACTGACGAAGACGAAGCTTCAGCTTGTGATGAAGATAAGAGTGCTAAAGGTGATGATTCCACGGGTGTTGAAGGTAACACTGACATTGGTGGTGATTCAAACGGCGACGAAGCTAAAACTGGTGGTAGTTGTGTTTCAATAAACGATGAAACTAGCAATGATGTGGGCAATGCGTCAAGTGGAGATGAAACTAACACCGATGAGGGTGATGCTTGAATCATTGATGAAGCAAACCCTGATGCTTGAATCGGTGATGAAGCTAATATTGATACAGATAATGTTTGAATCGGTGATGAAGCTAACATTGAGGTAGGTAATGTTCTAGCTTGTGATGAAGTGAACGGTGACAAGGCTGATGATTGAACGGACCTTGACGGTAACACTGACAAGGGTGCTGTTTCAAACGGCGATGAAGCTAGTACTGATGGCAGTTGTGCTTCAATTAGTGAAGAAACTAGTAATGGTGTGGGCGATGCTTCAAGTGGGGATGGAGCTAACACCGATACGAGTGATACTGGAATCAATGATGAATCTAACCCTGATGCAAACGATGCTGGAATCAATGATGAAGCTAACACTGATGCAGATAATGCTTGATTTGGTGATGAAGCTAACATTGGTGCAGATAATACATGTATCGGTGTTGAAGCTAACACTGACGAAAGCGACGATTCACCTTGTGATGACGCTAATGGTGATAAGAGTGATGATTCAACGGGTGTTGAAACTAACACTGACAAGGGTGGTGTTTCAAACGGCGAGGGTGGTATTTCAAACGGCGATGAGGCTAACACTGATGACGGTTGTGCTTCAATTAGTGATAAATCTAGCACTAATGTGACCGATGATTCTACTGGAGATGAAGCTAGAACTGATGAGGGTAAAGCTTGAATCGATGATAAAGCTAACACTGGTTCAGATGAAGCTTGAACCAATGATGAAACCAACACTGATGAAGACAAAGCTTCAATTTGTGATGATTCAACTGCTGTTTCAACTGGTGATGAAATTATCACAATTGAGGACGACAGGTCAACTTGTGCTGAAACTACCATTGACGTGGGTGATGATTCATACGGTGATAAAGCTAACACTGTTGACGTTTGTGACTCACCAAATAAAGATAATACTGATAAAGCTTGAATCGATGACGAAGCTAACACTGGTTCAGATGAAGCTTGAACCAGTGATGAAGGCAATACAGACAATGCTTCAATTTGTGATGATACAACTGTTGTTTCAACTGGTGATGAATCTATCACCATTGGGGACGATACTTCACCTTGTGCTGAAACTAACATCGGTGGGGATGATGATTTATCCGGTGATAAAGCTAACACTGGTGATGTTGGTGACTCACCTAATAAAAATGATACTGGTGATAACATTTCATCTAATGAGGTTGGTGCGACAGCTTGTGATAAAGTTTCACCTGATAAGGTTGGTCCTACAATTTCTACTGAAGCTGTGGAGGATACTCCTTCAAAGGACGCTTCCACTGACGGGGATGATGTTTCCATTTGCGAGGAAGATATAACCCATACGGGTGATGTTTCAAATGTTGTTGAAACTAAATATGATGCTTCAACCTGTGATGAATCTAACGCTGGCGGAGATGATGCTTTAACTGGTGATGAATATACCACTGACGTTGAGAATGCTTCAACTGTAGATGACAATACTACTGATACAGATGCTAAGGCCATTGGTGAATATAACACTTCAGATGGTGATGGATCAGAGATTAAAGATACTGGTGATAAAGCATCATCTGATGAGGTTGGTGTCATAACTAGTGTTGACGTTAACATAGGTGAGAATGATCCTTCAATCGAACCTGCCACTAGCGATGATGATATCCGCATTGATGATGTAACTAAAATGGGTTCGGATGACACTTCATCTAGTGCGGATGATGTTAAATCGGATGCGGATGGGGATTCAATCGGCGATAAGTCTAACATTGATGCGTATGAAGATACCACTGATGTGGATAATGCTTCAACTGTTGATGAAGATGGCACTGTTGAAGACAATTCTGGAACTGGTGACGAGGTTGCTGTCACTGACGAAGTTGATGATGCCACTGATGAGGATGATTCGGGAACTGGTGATGAGATTAATGCCACTGATGAGGACGATTCGGGAACTGGTGATGAGATTAATGCCACTGATGAAGTGAGTGAGGAATCTAACAACAATGAGTAGAATGCTGCAGTTGGTGAAGATGTGTGAATTAGTGATAAAGCTAGCACGGACGTGGATGATGCTTGAATTTGTGATGATATTAGATTAGGTGATGAAGCTAACAACGATAATGTCAAAACCGATGTGGCTGTTATTCCAATCAGTGATGAATGTGGTGCTTCAATCAGCGATGAAGCTACCACTGCTGTTTCAATTAGTGGTGAACCTAGCACTGATGTGGGTGGTGCCTCAAGTGGAGATGAAGCTAACACCAATGAGAGTGATACTTGGGTCAATGATGAAGCTGACACTGATGCAAATGATTCTTGAATCGGAGATGAAGGTAACACTGATGCATATAAGGCTTGAATCAGTGATGAAGCTAACAATGACGACGACGAGGATGCAGCTTGTGATAAAGATAACAGTAAGAAGGGTGATGATGCAACGGGTGTTGAATCTAGCACTGGAAAGGGTGGTGTATCAAACGGCGATGAAGTTAACACTGGTGGCAGTTGTGCTTCAGTTAGTGATGAAACTAGCAATGATGTGGGCAATGCTTCAAGTGGAGATGAAACTAACGCTGATAAGGATGATGCTTGAATCATTGATGAAGCTAACCCTGATGCTTGAATCATTGATGAAGCTAACCCTGATGCTTGAATCGGCGATGAAGCAAATATTGATACCGATAATGTTTGAATCAGTGATGAAGCTAACACTGACAAAGGCGATGCTCTAGCTTGTAATGAAGTGAGCAGTGAAAATGGTGATGACTGAACGGGCGTCGAAGCTAACACTGACAAAATTTGCTCTTGAATCGGTGATGACGCTAACATTGACGAATGCGACGATTCATCTTGTGATGAAACTGGTGGTGATAAAGGTGATGGTTCAACGGGTGTTGAAGCTAACAATGACAAGGGTGGCGTTTCAGACGGCGAAGGTGGCGTTTCAAACGGCGAAGGTGGTGTTTCAAACGGCGATGAAGCTAACACTGATGACAGTTGTGCTTCAATTAGTGCTGAATCTAGCACTACTGTGACCGATGATTCTACTGGTGATAAAGCTAGAACTGATGAGGGTAAAGCTTGAATCGATGATGAAACTAACACTGGTTCAGATGAAGCTTGAACTAGTGATGACGCCAACACTGATGAGGGCAATGCTTCAATTTGTGATGATTCAACTGTTGTTTCAACTGGTGATGAAACTATCACCATTGATGACGACGCGTCAACTTGTGCTGAAACTAACGTCGATGGGGACGAAGTTTCATCTGGTGATAAAGCTAACACTGATGACGTTGGTGACTCACCTAATAAAGATGATACTGGTGATAACATTTCATCTAATGGGGTTGGTGCGACAACTTGTGATAAAGCTTCGTCTGATAAGGTTGGTCCTACAACTTGTACTGAAGCTGTGGAGGATGATCCTTCAACAGAAGTGTCCACTAACGGGGATGATGTTTCAAATTGCGAGGAAGCTATAGTCCATATTGGTGATGTTTCAAATGTTGTTGAAACTAAATCTGATGCTTCAGCCTGCGATGAATCTAACGCTGGGGAAGATGATGCTTCAACTGGTGATGAATATACCACCGATGTTGAGAATGCTTCAACTGTTGAGGACAATACTACTGATACAGATGGCGATGGAGCAGAGACTAAAGATACTGGCGATAAAGTATCATCTGATGAGGCTTGTGTCATAACTAGTGTTGACGTTAACATGGGTGATCCTTCAATCGAACCTGCTACTAACAATGATGATATCCCCATTGATGATGTAGCTAAAACGGGTTTGGATGACAGTTCAACTAGTGCAGAGAATGACAAATCTGATGCGTATGGAGATACCATTGATGTGGATAATACTTCAACTGTTGATGAAGATGCTACTGATGAGGATGATTCAGGAACTGGTGATGAGATTACTGCCACTGATATTGTGGATGTGGAATCTAACACCAATGAGATTAAAGATATTGGTGATGATGATACCACTGCTGTAGATAATGCTTCAACTGCTGATGAAGATGCAACTGATGAGGATGATTCTGGAACAGGTGATGACGTTAATGAAGTGGATTTTGAATCTAACATTAATGGGGAGAATGCTGCAGTTGATGACAATGATTCTTCCACAGAGATTAAAGATACTGGTAATAAAGCATCATCTGGTGAAGTTGGTGTCACGACTAGTGTTGACGTTAACATGGGTGAGAAGGATCCTTCAATCGAACCTGCCACTAGCGATGATAATATATCCACTGATGATGATGTAATTAAAACGGATTCGAGTGACACTTCAACTAGTGCGGATGGTGTTAAATTTGAGGCGGATGAAAATTCAACCAGTGATGATTCTATCATTGATGCGTATGATGATACCACTGCTGTATATAATGCTTCAACTGTTGATGATGCTGCAACGGATGAGGATGAGGATGACACTTCAACTAGTGCGGATGGTGTTAAATTTGAGGCGGATGAGAATTCAACCAGTGATGATTCTATCATTGATGCGTATGATGATACCACTGCTGTATATAATACTTCAACTGTTGATGATGCTGCAACGGATGAGGATGAGGATGACACTTCAACTAGTGCGGATGGTGTTAAATTTGAGGCGGATGAGAATTCAACCAGTGATGATTCTATCATTGATGCGTATGATGATACCACTGCTGTATATAATGCTTCAACTGTTGATGATGATGCAACGGGTGAGGATGATTCTGGAACAGGTGATGAGATTATTGAAGTGAATGTTGAATCTAACATTAATGGGGAGAATGATGCAGTTGGTGACAATGATTCGTTCGCAGAGACTAAAGGTACTGGTGATAAGGCATCATCTGGTGAGGTTGGTGTCACAACTAGTGTTGACGTTAACATGGGTGAGAAGGATCCTTCAATTGAACCTGCCACTGGCGATGATAATATATCCACTAATGATGTAGTTAAAACGAATTCGGGTGACACTTCAACTAGTGCGGATGGTGTTAAATTTGGGGCGGATGAGAATTCAAAAAGTGATGATTCTAAGATTGATGCGTATGATGATACCACTGCTGTAGATAATGCTTCAACTAATGATGAAGATGCAACTGATAAGGATGATTCTGGAACAGGTGATGAGATTATTGAAGTGGATGTTGAATCTAACATTAATGGGGAGAATTCTGCAGTTGGTGACACTGATTCTGCCACAGAGATTAAAGATACTGGTAATAAAGCATCAATTGATGAGGTTGGTGCTACAACTAGTGTTGACCTTAACATGGGTGAGAAGTATCCTTCAGTCGAACCTGCCACTAGTGATGATGATATCCCCATTGATGATGTAACTAAAAAGGGTTCGGATGACACTTCATTTAGTGCGGATGATGTTAAATCGGATGAGGATGGGGATTCAACCGGTGATAAGTCTAACATTGATGCGTATGAAGATACCACTGATGTGGATAATGCTTCAACTGTTGATGACGATGGCACTGATGCAGACAATTCTGGAACTGGTGACGAGGTTGCTGTCACTGACGAAGTTGATGAAGTGGATTCGGAATCTAACACTAATGAGGAGAATGCTGCAGTTGGTGGTGATGATTGTTCTGTAGTTGAAGACGAATTTGAAACTATAAAAGAAAATCATAGAATTTATGAATCCATAGCCCGAAGGAGTGTGAAGGACTTAGTAGTTTGTAATTGTATAAGCATGCATGTAAACTACCACACACCACAAACTCACCAGCTATAATACCTGAACTGTCACACACTAGCAGTGGGAGGAAACCGGAGGACCCGGAGAAAACCCACGAGGTTGGACAGACGACCCTACTCCTTGTCACGTACAACCGGGGATTCGAAACCACGCAAGGAGTAAAGGTCACCGATCCAACCTCGTGGGTATTCTCCGAGTTCTCTGATTTGGTATAAAGGAGTAGGGTGGTATGCTTAATCTAGCTATGCATATGAAAGAGAGGATCTTTTGGTATAGAGAATTAGATATGACAAAGTTCATAGCTAACTATTTCTAGAGAGGAAGGGGGATATGGGGTTTAACGTCCATTCCAAACACTAGGTCATTTTGGGATTAATATGTCGGCCCAATTTTACCTCAATGATTAGCTTGTGCGTACGGGTCTTTAGTAGTCGGGGGAAAACAGATGACCCGGAGAATACCCACGAGGTTGGACAGGCGACCTTTCTCCTTATCACGCACACGCTGGGGGTCGAAACCATGCCACTTGACTCAAAGACGGGCCTTATGATCTAAAGCACACGACATAGGTCATTCGGCCACCCGATCCCCTAATTATTTCTATCACTTTTGCCCTGAAAAACGGGAATGTTGCCATAGTTACCTGTAGATCCTGCCTGGCATGATCTCTGGGAATAGATGGCACCATCTTCTGGAGTAGTTGTTGTGGGAATCGTGGTATATACATAACAAAGAGGGTGTAGAAAATACAGACTTTGACATGGTGGGACATCATTATTACACGCTGCTTCACACGCATCGATATCCTCTAGACCTGCTTTAATAGTAGATCCGGTTAATGGAGACGGTACCCGGTCTTGCTGTCGTGTAAACGTGCAAACTTCACCTCCTCCTGAGAACAGAAAAGAAGCACAAATCAATGTATTATTAATGACAATAATAGCAGACATTCTGTCCCAAATCCACTATACCAGATCTTACAATGGATGATGCTGAATACATTTCTATAAATGCATAATTTGAATACGTATAGATGGGATGGATTCTGCAAAACAGAATTTTGACTGATTCTTAACTCTGCTATATAGCAGACATTCTGTTCCCAACCGACCAAACCAGATCTTACAATACAAGCATTTATAAGAGGATGATACTGCAGATATACAATTCGAACACGTATTGATGGGATAGATAGTAGTGTCCCACCCTTTAATCAAAATTAATTTAACCTAAAATAATTCCGGAAAAACAGAATTCTCATTGATTTATGGTCAACAAAGATTCATAATTTAATAACAAAGTAACAGAATTCCACCAAGCGCAAAATACGTACTTGGTACATATTAAGGCATATAACAAATGGAGATTTTTTTCTCTCCACATAAAGAGAAAGTCCCTTAATGGTAATAGGGTTATTGATACATTTTACGTGTAAGAGACAATAACTCTACCGTTAATATGACATGTTTGCATATTCAGTTTGGAGAAACGGTCACTCAGTGAGTTTGGCGCAGATCCACTAACGAAGGGGCCAAAGATGTGATCCAGTTTTCCCAGCAGTGAATTAGTAGGCAGAAACGGGGCTATCCTTCAGGGGGAGAGTGTGGTGCAACCGGTACATCGCGCCGGGGCCAACGAAGCCTCAGGTGCCTATAAATATCTAAGCATGTCAGGTATTCGTGATGCACAGCCCCCTGATCCGATCAGGTGTGGAAGTGGAAGGGGTCCAAAATTTGTCTTGCTCCGGTACATAAAAATTATCTCCGCGGTCCTGACTAACGAAACAATAGCAGCAAAACATTTTGTGACCTGCAGAACGTTTACAAAGTTTCGATGGGGATTTTAGGAAAAATAGCTACTCACTGACCTGTGTTGGACTCTGGTACGAATGATGAGGTTGATGACTCAACATAATGTGACGATGATTCTTCCACCGGCGATGATGAACTTACTGTTGGAAATATTGATGACTCTAGCACAGACGAACTGACAACTAGCGATGATGAACTTACTGTTGGAGATGTTGACGACTCTGGCACAGACGGACGGGCAGGCGTCGATGATGATCTTACTGTTGGGGATGTTGACGACTCTAGCACCGACGAACTGACAACTGTTGATGATGAACTTACTGTTGGGGGTGTTGACGAATCTAGCACAGACGAACTCGTAAGTGTTGATAATGAACTTGAAGAATCTAGCACAGACGAATTGACAATCGTTGATGACGTATCTCCTGTTGGGGATGTTGACGACTCTATCACAGACGAACTGACAGCCGTCGACGATAAACTTACTGTTGGAGACGCTGACGACTCTTGCACATACGAACTGACAGCCGTTGATAATGAACTTACTCTTAGAGATGTTGACGACTCCAGCACCGACGAACTGACATTAGTTGATGATGAACTTACTGTTGGGAATGTTGATGACGCTAGCACAGACGAACTGACCATCCTTGATGATGAACCTATTATTGGAGATGTTGACCACTCTAGCACCGACGAACTCGCAACTGTTGGTGATGAACTTATTGTTGGGAATGTTGATGACGCTAGCACAGACGAACTGACAGTCGTTGGTGATGCCCACTCTAGCACCGACGAATTCGCAACTGTTGATGATGAACTTACTGTTGGGAATGTTGGCGAATCTAGTACAGACGAACCGACAACTGTTGATGATGAACCTATTATTGGGGATATTGACGAATCTATCTCAGATGAGCTCGCAACTGTTGATGACGAACTTGACGGATCTAGCACAGACGAATCGACAATCGTTGATGATGTATTTGCTGTTGGGGATGTTGACGACTCTAGCAAAGACGAACTGACAGCCATTGATGATAAATTTACTGTTGGAGACGCTGACGACTCTAGCACAGACGAACTGACAGCCGTTGATAATGAACTTACTCTTAGAGATGTTGACGACTCTAGCACAGACGAACTGACAACAGTTGCTAGTGAACTTACTATTGGGGATGTTGATGACACAGACGACCCGTCAACTGGAAGAGTAATGTATAAAATCAAATAAAATATACATATTTATATTAAATCGACCGAGAAGATTTCTCGTGATTGTTCAGTTTGGAAGATGCAGAGCTTGTACCCGTCAAGGAGTAGGGTCGCCTCCCCAAACTCGTGGGTTTAATAAAATTGTACTACTATGTTAGTCTCGAAATGATCTAGTGTAAATTACCATGGTCCTTTACCTATAACCATAGCACTCTTTAAAAAACCCCAAGCCCACTCCAAGACAGAAGTGTCGCGATATTTACCTGTAGATCCTGCCTGACACGATCTCTGTGAATAGACTGCATCAATTTGTGGAGTGGTTGTTGTGGGAATCGTGGTATATACATAGCAAAGAGGATGTTGAAAATACAGACTTTGACATGGCGGGACATCATTACTACATGCTACTTCACACGCATCGATATCCTCTAGACCTGCTTTAATAGTAGAACCGGTTAATGGAGACGGTACCCGGTCTTGCTGTCGTGTAAACGTGCAAACTTCACCTCCTTAGAACATAAATAAACTAATACAAATCAAAAAACGGAATTTTTTATTGAAATAAAGTGCACAAAGAGTCATAATTAAGTACCAAAGTAACAGAATCTCACCAAGTGAAAAATACGTCCTTGGTAAATTAGGGAAAATCACAAATGAACATTTCTCGCTCCAGATAAGGGCTCTATAAATGCACATTATTATTATTATTATTACTAATATTATTATTATTATTATTATTATTATTATTAACTATACACTCACCTGTGTTAGATGTTGGTACCGATGATGAGGTTGATGAGTCAACATATTGTGAAGATGATTCGTCCACTGGTGATGATGAACTTACTGTTGGAGATGTTGACGACTCTAGTACAGACGAACTCGCAACTGTTGAGGATGAAATTACTGTTGGGGATGTTGATGACGCTAGCACAGACGAACTGAAAGCCGTTGATGGCAAACTTATTGTTGGGGATGTTGGCAACTCTAGCACAGACGAAATGACAACTGTAAGAGTAATGTATAAAATATTTCTGAAATGACAATTCTCAAATGTTGTTTTAGTGTTATTTACCTCCCTTATTGCGTTGTCTGGCCGACAAAAGTAACTGCCGTACATGATAGCATCAGCGACCTTATAATCCAACTCAAATGTTGACAACCCTTCCAGACTAAAACTCCATTTAATTACCAATTTCCGGAGTTCTATAATAAAGAATAACCATAGAGGCCTACTCAGAGATAGAAGTGTCCACATAGTTACCTGCAGGTTCTGCCTGGCACGATCTCTGGGAATAGATTGCTCCATTTTGTGGAGTAGTTGTTGTGGGAATCGTGGTATATACATAACAGAGAGGGTGTAGAAAATACAGACTTTGACATGGTGGGACATCATTACTACATGCTGCTTCACACGAATCGATATCCTCTAGACCTGCTTTAATAGTAGACCCGGTTAATGGAGACGGTACCCGGTCTTGCTGTCGTGTAAACGTACAAACTTCACCTCCTCCTGAGAACAGAAAAGAAGCACAAATCAATTTATTATTAATGACAATAATAGCAGATATTCTGTCCCCAACCCAGCATGCCACAGGGTGTCTAATAACCAATATTTTATTAATGACAATAATAGCAGACAATCTGTCCCCAATCCACTATACCAGATCTTACAAAACAAGCATTTAAAAGAGTATATAACAGTATATAGGGGATAAATTCTGCAAAATTGATTCTCACTAATTTGTAACTATGTTATATACAGCAGCGCGTCAAACTTCAATCAAAATTAATCTAACAATAAAATAATTCCGAAAAAACTGAATTTTTATTGATTTAAAGTCCACAAAGAGTCACAATTCAGTACCAAAGTACCAGAATCCCACCAAACGCAAACTACATACTTGGTACATATTAAGGAAAATGACAAATAAACATTTCTCGTTCCAGATAAGGGCTCTATAAATGCACAATATTGTTATGATTATTATTATTATTATAAGTAATTATACACTCACCTGTGTTAGATGCTGGTACCGATGATGACGTTGGTGGATCCATATATTGTGACGACGTTTCTTCCACTGGTGATGATGAACTTACTGTTGGAGATGTTGACGACTCTAACACAGACGAACTCACAGCAGTTGGTGACGAACTTACTGTTGGAGATGTTGACGCCTCTGGCACAGACGCACTCGCAACTGTTGTGGATGAACTTATTGCTGGGGATGTTGATGACGCTACCACAGCCGTTGATGACAGACTAATTGTTGGGGACGCTGACGACTCTGGCACAGAGGAACTGACAACTGTAAGATTAATGTATAAAAAGTTTCTGAAATGACAATTCTTAAATATTGTTTTAGTGTTATTTACCTCCCTTATTGCGCTGTCTAGACGACAAAAGTAAATTTCGTACATGATAGCATCAAAGACCTTATAATCTAGCTCAAATGTTGACAACCCATCCAGACTAAAACTTCATTTAATTAATATTATCCATTGTCAAAGCTCTATAATAAAGAATAACCATAGAGGACTACTCCAAGACAAAAGTGTTGCCATAGTTACCTACAGGTCCTGCCTGGCATGATCTCTGGGAATAGATTGCTCCATTTTGTGGAGTAGTTGTTGTTGGAATCATGGTATATACATAACAAAGTGGATGTTGAAAATACAGACTTTGACATGGTGGGACATCATTACTACACGCTGCTTCACACGCATCGATATCCGCTAGACCTGTTTTAATAGTAGATCCGGTTAATGGGGACGGTACCCGGTCTTGCTGTCGTGTAAACGTGCAAATTTCACCTCCTGTGAACAGAAAAAAGCACAAATCAATATATTATTAATGACAATAATAGCAGATATTCTGTCCCCAACCGAGCATGCCACAGGGTGTCTAATAACCAATATTTTATTGGTGACAATAATAGCAGATATTTTGTCTACCAACCGTCAATCAAAATGCATTTATCCTAAATAATTCCAAAAATAAAACTATACACTCACCTGTGTTAGATGCTGGTACCAATAATGATGTTGATGACTCAACATATTGTAACGATGATTCTTCCACTGGTGATGACGAACTTACAGTTAGAGATGTTGACGACTCTACCACAGATGAACTGACAACTGTAAAAGTAATGTATATAACTAAATAAAAATCTACATATTTATATTGAATTGCCCGAGAAGGTTCTTTGGGATTTCCTCGCAGGGCTTGTCAATGAACAGCGTCTAGTCGATCCAATGGTAGAAACAACAGCCGTTCCTTGTGCGAGTAAAACGAAATTGGCAGGAGTAGGCTAAAACGCCACTGTCTTGGCAAAATGTGCCTCATAGAACACTCAATGACGTATGACCGTCTTTATTATCCCTGTAGGTGCAGTATAGTAAAACTCCATTTGATTTCATTTCATCTACATATCTACAAAACAGCCATATAAGTGTTGCCATAGTTACCTTCAGGTTCTGCCTGGCACGATCTCTGGGAATAGATGGCTCCATTTTGTGGAGTAGTTGTTGTGGGAATCGTGGTATATACATAACAAAGTGGATGTTGAAAATACAGACTTTGACATGGTGGGACATCATTACTACACGCTGCTTCACACGCATCGATATCCGCTAGACCAAATTTAAGAGTAGACCCGGTTAATGGAGATGGTACCCGATCTTGCTGTCTTGTAAATGTGCAAATTTCACCTCCTGTGAACAGAAAAAAATCAATTTATTATCAATGACAATAATAGCAGACCGACCATACCACAGGGTGCTTAATAACCATTTTTTTTATTAGTGACAATAATAGCAGACATTCTGTCCCCAACCCACCATACCAGTTAATGGAGACGGTACCGGTCTTGCTGTCGTGTAAACGTGCAAATTTCAACTCCTGGGAACAGAAAGAGAGAGCACAGTCCATAATAGCAAATAATAATGGCCTTTGTAATAACTTGGCACATATACGAGGGGTGATTGATAAGTAGTGAGCCTCGATTGGAAAACCGTGCAACACAATGATACCACGTTTTGCACGTGCACTATTATGTTCCTCGGGCTCTGTCACAAACTTTCATCACATTCGGTTAAACTGTTTAGTTGTGACAGGTCCTAACAATCAAGTAGGGTCTGTTGTTATCAGAAAATGGACCATATCGAGGCGAGAGCTATGATTAAGTATCTGCATAAAAAGGGTCTAACACCGAAAGCCATACTTGGTGATATGGTTGAGACATTAGGAGATGATGCTCCTTCATATGCCACAATTAAAAGGTGGTCAGCTGAATTCAAGCGTGGCCGAGACAGGATTGAAGACAAACCACGCCCTGGTCGACCAAAAACTGTGTCAACACCTGAAATGTTACAAAAAAATCCATGATCTGATAATGAATGACCGGCGAGTTACTGAACGATTCATAGCTGGGGTAGTTGGTATTAGCCAGAAGAGAGTTCATTCTATTATCACTGAAACTTTGGAAATGACAAAGGTTTCAGCACGATGGGTGCCAAAGCTTTTGACGCCTGATCAAAAGCGTTCAAGACACATCATGTCAGAAGAGAATCTAGCTTTATTTGAAACCGATCCTGACCGCTTCCTAAAACAAATTGCTACTATGGATGAAACTTGGGTCCACCACTTTCAGCCAGAAACAAAAGAGCAGTCAAACAGTGGAAACATGTGACGTCGCCGACCCCAAAGAAGGCAAAGACTGTTTCATCGGCAGGAAAGGTGATGGCCTCAGTATTCTGGGATTCTGAGGGTGTTCTCGTGGTGGATTACCTCCAAAAGGGTCAAACAATTAACGGTAGATACTATGCAGCACTTATAAGGCAGTTGAGGCGCGAAATTTAGGCCAGAATACTAGGAAGGCTGACCAAAGGTGTGATTTTCCACCAAGACAATGCGCCAGTACACAAATCAGCTGTTGCCATGTCAGCAATCCATACCTGTGGTTTTCAACTTCTTCAGCATCCACCCCACTCTCCTGATTTAGCTCCCTCAGACTTCTATGATTCCTGCTCTGAAGAAATGTTATTCCGGTAGGCATTTCCCGTCTGACGATGACGTGATTGCCACTGTTGGTGATTTTCTACACACCAAAGACAAAGACTTCTACAGAACTAGAATAAAGGCTCTGCAACATCGATGGCAGAAGTGTGAAATGAAATGAAATGAAATGGGGTTTAACGTCCTACTGTTCTGCTCCTAACCTGGGCTAATGAAGACGGGCATACGCCATACAGTGTGCTATGAGGGAAATTTTGCCCGGGCAGCGGCACTACGGGCTACTCTTATATCGAATTCCAACTGCCAAGGGATCTTTTACGTGCACGCCAATGTGTACACGGGACCTCGGTTTTTCGTCCCATCCGAACGACTAGACAGCTTTCCTTGTCAGCCCCTCCATCCTGCATCACTGACAAGGGAGAACCACGCCGGAAAATCTGGATGAACTTTCTCGGCCAATGCAGGGATCGAACACCCGACCTCCAGGCTAGCGAGCTAGCGTCGGCAGAAGTGTAATACATTGAAGGGGTACTATGTTGAAAAATAAATGCATTTGATTTGAATTTCTTGTTTCTGTCTGTGTTAGACTCACTACTTATCAATCACCCCTCGTAGTGACAAATTCCCAATTACACGGTTGGTGACAATTTATAATCAATCCATGATGTAGTCGGTCCGATAGGAAGCATTTAACACAAACTCCTACTCACTGGTGGTTTCGACTCCCCCGTTTGTACGTGACAAAGAGTGGGGTCGTCTATCTAACCACGTCGGATTTATCGGAGTCCCCCGTTTCCTCCCATTGCTAAAGACCCCTATGCGCAAATGACCTAGTTTGTGTCGAGTGGACTTTAAACCCCGTTCTCCCCCTCCCCCTACTTACCGGAAGCATGCAGTACGATCACCAATACAAGTAGAGGACAAACGGATGTTGTCAATGACATGGCCACCGAATTTATCTAATCATATTCATAAACAAAAACATCACACACCTAGGAATAAATCAAAATAATACATTTATAAAGATGCATTATGTAAGAATTAAACCTGCCTATTGTAGATCTTTCTTTTAACTTTAAATCTTATTGGGGGGTGTTGGATGGCAGAATGGTAAGCACGTGTACGCTGTATCATAAGGTCTGTCATTGAGTCAACTAGTTTATGTCGAATGGACGTTAAATCCTCCCTCTCTCTCTCTCTCACTCTCTCTCACTCTCTCTCTTTCTTTCTCTCTCTCTTTCTCTCTCTCTCTCACTCTCTCTCACTGTCTCTCTCACTCTCTGTCTCACTCTCTCTCTTTCTCCCTCTCTTTCTTTCTCTCTGCCTCACTCTTTCTCTCTCTCTCACTCTCTGTCTCACTCTATCTTTCTCTCTCTCTCTCTCTCTCTCTTTCTCTGTCTCACTCTCTCTCCCTCTCTCACTCTCTCTCACTCTGTCTCTCTCACTCTCTCTCTCTGTCTCCCTCACTCTCTCTCTGTCTCTCTCACTCTCTCTCTCTCTCTCTCTCTCTCTCTGACAAGCCTATAATCAACTCTCTAGATCATCAGATGGTAGAGATTTAAATAGAGTAAAACACCTGTAAGATTTTTAAAAAAGTTTAACGATTCAATGGATAATCGAGACTCTCGTGTGTCCAGTTCCGTTGCTACGATAATCTTACAGCACTCATAACTTCGCTCAGAATTAAGTAATTCGAATGGAATTTGCGCAATATTTCGTTTTTCATTACGGTAACTTTTTGTTTTAATATTATTGCAAGAACGACCAGCTCTTTAAATCCTATACATTGTGCATCTTTAACAGAAGAGTTGAATCGAAATGGCTTGTTATATTATTTCATAAATAAGAAATGATAAATTATTAAATGAGCTTGGTCCCGGTATGGACCGTGATATTCGAACCGCCAGCACACTAAAATATCTCAAGTTTGAATCCCGTCGTCCCTGACAAGTGGTTTGGATGGGACATTAAAAAGAACCATTAACATTTGGGAACCAAAGAAGAGTATAGTCAAAGATAAGAATATATTTTATATTTCATATTTTCCTTAGTCGTCAAATTGTTTTTTTTTTTTTTTTTTTTTTTGTGTGTTTAGATCTGGGGATCACGTGGCTAAGTCGGTAAGACGCTGGCTCGCTAGCCTGGAGGTCGAGTGTTCGATCCCTGCATTGGCCGAGAAAGTTCATCCCGATTTTCCGGCGTAGTTCTCCTTGTCAGTGATGCAGGACGGAGGGCCTGGCAAGGACAGCTGTCTAGTCGTTCAGATGGGACGAAAAACCGAGGTCCCGTGTACACATTGGCGTGCACGTAAAAGATCCAAGAGT